GTGCCTCCAAGGCACTAAAAAATTCATTATTAAACAAGATATTGTTTTCATATTTTATCATTTGGTCTGTCCCATGGGCAGCTATTTTTCAGTAATACTCTCCACAACCACAAATATTAACTCATCTATAATATAATTTGATTGTCGTTATCTTTATGTTTATTAAACTAGTTTTCACCCGTGCGATGCACGGGATTGAGTTTTAAAAATATGAAATATTTTAAATTTACTAACATGTAAAACCATAGGAAAATGAAAGAATGCATAGAAAAATGAAAAGAATAATTATGGTTAATTTTTTAAATTTATTTTTAATTATCACTTACCCAAAGTCTCTTACGCCTCGTTTGGTACACGAGAATGGACTCAAATGAGAATGGAATGGAAGAAGGAATGAAATGGAATAGTCATTCTCATTCTCACGTTTGGGTGTAATTATAAAATAAAGTGGGAATGGACGTATTTTAAAATTGTATATTTTATTGGTTCTCATTTAAGTGGGAATGCCCATTCCCTATCATTTTATTAGGAATACTCATTCCCACATAAAGTGGGAATTGATGAGAAGTGGGAATGGACATTCCAACTTCAAAAAAAATGGTGTGTTTGGTAGGAAGGAATGAGAAGTGAGAATGATCATTTCATTCCACCTCATTCTCGCGTACCAAACGAAGCCTTACAGCTCTTGCTATTCACTTCCCCTCTAGGTAACACCTAATTATTATTTTAGGGTTAATTTTGAGAAAATCCTCCTCACCTATCTTAATTTTAAACAACACCCTCAATTATAAAGTTATTGTAGATAAGTCTCCTCAACTTTTAAAGTGAAATTACCCCTTAAGGAGCCACTCCCTGATCAACTTGTTATCCATGGACCTGATGGGAGGAGTTATACTCAGGATGTGGTCTATGAATTTAAATCAAGGTGGTGCACATTATGCAATAAAGTGGGAGCATGAGACTGTTCAGTGTAGAAGAAATGCAAGGAAAATCTGGGTTCCTATTAACAGACCAAATGCACAAGCTCCTTTTGCCAATAATGTACAACATGGAGTTGATATTAGGAATTTGAATGTTGGTACAACAACTCATCCTAATGCTGAGCTGAATGCTGACACTAATACACAACATGCACAGATGGCTTAAAACATGCACGGATTCAGATTGAGCAGGTCCCTGAGGTAAATGTTTCTCAAAATAGGCAAAGGGAAGTTGTTCATACTGATGCATTTATGTCCCCCCCCCCTATTGTTAATGTCACTGGATCCACAAGTGCTAGTACACCTACTGAAGTTGTGGCAGATTTTCCTGTAGAAGATGTTTTTGGTTTTGTTGCACAACAAAATAAGCAAAAGGAAGCTTCTCCTACTGTCAATATTACTGGATTTACAAGTGTCACCAAAGCTAATACTGCTAGAAGGAGAAAAACTAATATGCCTGGCAACACAATCCATGCTTCTCAATTCTCAATCTTGGGACATCAGAAGCTTGATTTAGACCCCTATAGTATTGATAGGGGTGAAATATACAAATAAATGCATTTGAAAATATGGAACATCAGAGGATTCAATAAATCCTCTAAGCACTTGATTGTAAAGCAGTTCATTCAGGAATACAAAATTTCTTTTTTAGCTCTTTTAGAAACCAAGGTAACTGAAGAGAAAATGAAGTTTATAGCTAAAAAAATTGCAAAGGATTGGAAATGGTCTTCTAATGTGCAGCACTCTGATAACAAAGCCAAAATTTGGATTTTATGGGACAACAATTATATCTTTATTCAGAATATAAATAGCTCTCCACATTCTATGTCTTGCAAGGTAGAATAAAAAGATGGAAGTCTGGATTGTTCTATCACAGTAGTCTATGCCCTTAATCAAATGGAGGGGAGGAAAGCTCTTTGGCAAGATTTATTAGCTATTAAAAGAAATGTGTCAGGTCCCTGGCTAGTAGGAGGAGACTTTAATGCTATTCTTAATGGTGAGGAGAAAATAAGTGGTGTTCAAGTATCAGATGCAGAGGTTGAGGATTTTCAGAATTTCATAGTTTCAAGCCAACTGAAGCATATTAAATCCACATGCTATTTTTTTCACTTGGAGTAATAAACAGGATGCACATACAAGAATATGGAGAAGATTGGATAGAATGCTAGTGAATGAAGATTGGATTTTTAAATACACATCAAGCCAGACTGAATACTTGATGCCCCTTTGCTCTGATCACTCTCCAGGTATGCTGACAATTAGTGATGAAAAAATTTATGGCAACAGGCCTTTCAAGTTTTTTGCTATGTGGACTAAGCACCCAGATTATCTGTCAGTTGTCAGCTCAGTATGGGATCAACATGTATAGGGTTACAACATGTACAGGCTACACACCAAGCTCAAAAATCTTAAACCTTTTCTCAAAGAACTGAACAAGAGGCATTTCATGAACATTAGTGAGCAAGTATCTAGAGCTAAATTGGAGTTGTATGAAGTTCAATCTCAACTTAGCTCTGACTTGCTCAACCCAGATCTGATTTCTAAGGAAAAAGAAAGCATCAGGAAGTTCACTAAACTACTGGAATGTGAAAACTCCTTTTATAGACAAAAAGCAAATATCAGCTGGGGATTACATGGGGACAAAAGCACTCAATACTTCCATTCTGTTATGAAAAATAAGAGACACCACAATAGAGTGATGTCTATTCATTCCGAAAATGGCACTAGGATCACAGACCAACAAGGTATCATCTCTGAGTTTGTTGAATACTATAAAAATCTGCTTGGATCCACAGGTACTGTAACAACACCCAATCCAGAAGTTATCTTACAAGGACCAATCCTCTCTTCTATTCATCGTTGTGATTTGGGTAAGCCTGTCACTAGGGAGGAGATTAGGCAAGCAATTTTTACAATGCCTACTGATAAAGCTCCAGGTCCGGATGGTTATAGTGCTCCTTTCTTCAAGTCTGCATGGAGTGTCATCAAAGAAGACTTGTTTATGGCTGTTGAGGAGTTCTTTACCTTAGGTAAACTTCTGGGTGTCTTGAATACAACTTCTATAACTTTGGTGCCAAAAATCCTCAGTCCAACTTCAGCTTCAGATTATATACCTATAGCATGCTGTAATGTAATCTACAAGATTATTACCAAGGTCATTGCAAACATGATTCAAAAAATCATGGGTTTCTTGATAAATGATGCTCAAAGTGCCTTTGTCAAAGGGAGACTTATTTCAAGCAATTTTCTTCTAGCCCATGAACTAATCAAGCACTATGGAAGGAAACACAATTCACCTAGAGCTATCATAAATGTGGATCTTAGAAAGACATTTGATACAATAAATTGGGACTTCATCAAATCTATGCTAGTGGGTTTAGGTTTCCCTGTAACTATGATTGGCTGGATTTGGGAGTGCATCACCACTCCTAAATTTTCTTTATCTCTAAATGGTGTGTTGCATGGCTACTTTCATGGTGCTAGGGGGCTGAGGCAGGGAGATCCACTATCCCCCTATCTATTTGTATTAGGCATGGAATACTTGTCAAGGAGGTTATCCTCACTTAAAGATGACAGAATGTTTAAGTTCCATCCGAAATGTTCTAGACTCAAGATAACACACCTGATTTTTGCTGATGATCTGTTATTGTTTGGCAAGGCTGATTTTAACTCTATCACAAAATTACATGCATGCTTGCAAGAGTTTTGTCAGGTATCGAGCTTGGAAGTTAATCTTGGCAAATGCTCAATCTATATGAGTGGAGTTGATGATAACTTGAGGACTCAGATTTGCACTTTTCTAGGCGTTATGGAGGGGACTTTGCCAATGAAATATATGGGACTGCCATTAACAACAAGAAAGTTATCTTACCTTGAGTGCTCATCTCTAATCAGCAAAACTGCTGATCAATTCCATAGTTAGCAACAAAATAGGAAGTTATCCTATACGAGGAGAATTCAACTGATAGAAACTGTTATACTTGGGATTCAAACTTTTTGGGTTAGCAGTTATATATTGCCGATTAAAGTGCTTGAAAAATTTGATAGGCTTTGCTCATATTTCCTTTGGGGTCAAAAAATCCATTTGGTCTCCTGGAATACAGTTTGTTTGGGGAGGAAGCAAGGAGGCTTTGGTCTCTTTCTGGCAAAGGAATGGAATAATGCAGCTGTTGTTAAACTCCTCTGGATGATCCATCAGAAAAAAGACTTGTTATGGATCAAATGGATACATGGCCACTATCTACAACACTCAAATATTTGGCAAATTCAACATAGGGAGAATGACTCTTGGATGTGGAAGCAACTCCTCAAAGTTAGGAATATGATGACAGCTAAATTTGGCAATACTAAAAATTTAATGAGCACATTGGATGCCTGCTGTCCCAATGGTAAAATCAATATGACCTTGATATACAATGCTCTGTATCAGACTAATACCTCAGCAGAATAGGCAGAAACTACATGGGGGGGATTGAACTATCCTAAGCATTCATTCATCCTCTGGTTAGTTAATCATTCCAGGCTCCTTACTCAGGAGAGACTGTGTAGTCTGAGAATGCTAGAAGTTAATCTATGTGTTCTGTGTACTAGCCAGTTAGAAAACTGCAGACATTTATTCTTTGAATGCCAATACTCAGCTAATGTTTGGAACAAGATGATGGACTGGATGGGATTCACTTGGAGAACTTATAATTGGAGCTTGCTCATTCATTGGTACTCACACAACTTGAGAGGGAAGGGATTTAAGAAGAACCTGAAGAGAATAGCCCCCGCTGCTGCTGTTTACTCAATTTGGCAAGAGAGGAATACCAGAATTTTTCAAGGGAAAGCAAGAGTGTCAGATGTACTCTTTCGAGCAATCAAGTTTTCCATCTATTCCAAAATTCTAAATGATGACATACCTGTACATATGAAAGAAGCATTAGAGAGGATGTAATGTCTGTTTTCTGTTTTCTTTGTTTACCAGGTTAAGTCCAAGCCTGGTTCTTGATGTACATAATTTCTGCACTTGGCTAATGAATAAAAAGTTTAATTCATTGACAAAAAAAAAACTTTTAAAATATGATTTATCCCCCTCAACTTTTCTCATCTAACCCCATGCACTAATATATAATTAAAATCTAAAGGAACAAATGATTTAAAATGACCATACTATCCCTAAGGCATTAAAAGTTTTACCACATTGTTCCTTTTTAACTTTTTTTGGTTTAAAAATAACCATATTCATTGCTCCGTTCACATGCAAATATAATTTTTTTCTTTCATTTTTAAAATAGTAAACTCTTTTTATTTTATGCTTATCCATGTTTATGATATTTGAAGCAATTGAAACTTTTAATCTTTTTTTGAAGATTAGTTTCCTCATCAAAACCTATCAAACTGAAGTATAATATTTTGATTTGGGTTATGTTTTTAAACTCACATGAAAATTTTTCAATCAAGGGTATTTTTATCATTGTATATTTAAATTAATAATATTATGGGTGCTATTTAAAAAACTAGAAAGATAAAAGGAGGTTTTGTGAGACACCTCATAATTAGGGGGACTTAGTGATATTTTAAAAGTTATGGGGGATTA